GCTGGTCAAGTACATAACAATGCAGATACATTGTCCAAAATAGTCGAAGACAAATGTAATACATTTAATCTTTATCAAAAAGTAGCTAATATAGGAAATACTGATGAAACACATAAAAAAGATATGATTTTGAAACTCTACAAAACCTAGAAGACTAGACCAGGTATTCAATAGCAGAAGTTGAAGCATTTCACATGATAACTAAAAACTACTTTGATGAAAAAATCAAAGAAGGAAATAAAAATTTATAGACAAATATTGAAGATATATAGAATAACATGTGGACCACCCAGTGGGATAAAAAGGAATTTGAGTAATATCTGAAGAATGAAAGGCAATATAGGGAGTTAATTCAACAACTAAACAATGAATTCTATGGAGAAATAATCCTGACAGCACAAATAGAGTATCACATCATACCAGAAAATAGTAATAGTAAATCTAATTTAATAAATATCAATAATATCTACCTAATTGATTCACCAAATGGTTTGATAATGAGTTGAAATTTAACAGTGATGATAAAACCTATAATTCAGAATATGCTCATAATTTTCACCTGGGTCATAGCAAATATTGGTAGAACACTAACATCGAAGAGGAAATGCTCTATAGTGCCAGAATCGACTCTAAAAACCCAAAATAGCATTTACCCCTGGATGATGATGCAACAATAGATTGGGACTATTATATTAATATAGAAAAAATAATTAGCAAATTAATTAAAAATTAAAATTAACAAGAAATTTAAAGATTAGTTAAAAAAAAATATATACGATAAAAAAAAAACTTAGCATATAACAGACCTAACAATAGAGTGAGGTTAGTCAGAATGAAATAGGGTGAGTTGTAGAGCCCTATTTAAGAAATTAACTATTAAGAAGCTAATTAAGATTTCGAGATCCTATGGGGCCATAAAATAATGTGATCTAAAAATAAGCAATATATCTATAATAATAGTATAATAGGAACTATTAGTATTAAGCCAATAAAACAATGCTATCTTG